AGCTACGAGTATGTACTTGTTGCCATATGAGTTGACGAAAGGCCCCATGAAATCGATTCTCCATACATCAAACACTTCTACCTCCTGAATTGGGTTCATAGGCATCTCATGTCGGCGGGAAATATTCCGGTTCATTGTCATTCATCACAACCCTTTTCCCAAAAGTGTGCAACTTTGAACAATGTCGGCCAGTAGAAGCCCGACTCCAACACTTTTTCCGTTGTTAGTACTCCTTCGAAATGGCCACCATATGGTGACGCGTGACACGCCTGCAAAATAGAAGATTGGTCTATCTCGGGGATACATCTCTGGATCATGTTGTCAACATAAATCCTGAACAGATAAGGTTCCTCCCAATAATACATGCGACAATCCTGAAAGAACTTTTTCTTTTGAATAGAGGAAAGGTCATAGGGAACAATACCGCTCGCCAAGTAGTTTGCAATATGTACATACCATGGAGCTACCTCAAGACTCGTGGCTAATAGTTGTTCATCCGGGAAAGTCTCCGCAATCTCTTCCACCTCGACCTTCTTCTCGGCTCTTCCAGCCTAGACAAGTGATCAGCCACTTGGTTCTCCGTTCCTTTCGGTCACAAATTTCCAAGTCAAATTCTTGCAGCAGTAGCACCCATCGAGTTAGGCGCGGCTTTGATTCCTTCTTCTCGATTAAGTACCTGAGAGCAGCACGGTCAGTATAAACAATTACCTTTGAGCCTATCAGGTATGCCCTGAATTTTTCAAATGCGAACACCACTGCTAGCATCTCCTTTTTGGTCACTGTGTATTTTTGTTGGGCACCACTCAGAGTTCTACTTGCGTAGTATATTAGATGCATGACTTTGTCTTTTCGCTGCCCAAGAACTGCTCCCACAGCATAGTAGCTCGCATCACACATCAGCTCAAATGGTTGCTCCCAGTCAGGTGCAACTATGATAGGTGCTGTTACCAACCTCTATTTCAATTCCTCAAAAGATACCCTGCAGTCATCAGAAAACACAAAAGGGTGATCTTTTTCAAGCAATTTACACAAAGGGTTAGCAATTTTGGAAAAACCTTTTATAAATCTCCAATGGAAACCGGCATGTCCGAGGAAACTTCACTACAAGAAAATTGCTGATTACATGGGGATTTTCCAAGGGATAAGATACGAAAATCCGCAGGTACTTTGATTTTCTGCGGAATTTCCTACCAAAATAAATCCGTTGGAAAAACCTCTGTAGGTAATTATTACCTGGGAATTAAAATATCCCCAGGTAAATTACCTGGGGATTTTGTATCCCCATGTAACTTACTTGCGGATTTATCAGCGAAACATCTCAAAAAATTCGCAATAATATTTTGGTAAAAATTCGTAAACAAGGGATTTTTCTTGGGAATTTTTGTAGGAAGAAATCCGCATGTAATTCCCCATGAAAATCCTTAAGTAAAATCCGCAGGAACACATTTTCGCAAGAAAATTCACATGAAAATGTTGCATGTATAACCCCAGCAAAGTTCCCAAATAATAATTCGTAGGTAAATCACCATGTAAGATTTCCAATGAAACAAAAGAAATATTTGAAATCCCCAAGAAAATCCATAAGTGATATTTTCGTAGGAAAATTCATATGTAATATTGGTAAGAAAATCCCTATGTAATTGTTTTTTATAAAAAAATTACCATATAAAATTGACGCGTTCGAAAATATTTTCCCATTAAAATTTGCAAGTAATCTATGCATTTTCAAGATGTTTTTAATTTATTCTAGCTTATATTCTTACAGTTCAACTATATTATCACATTCATAATCATTCAACACACATCTAATATAATTATAACAAAAGAAAAACATAATTCATAACGTTAATGTAATATCATATAATCCTTAAACAAAAACCAAAATATCTCAAATATGAAACTTAATAGTCTAATGAACATCTCAATCATGATTATAGTCACTTTCATTCGCGTTACCAGGGTGAGAACCACTTTCATTCACATTATCAGAGTCATCGTCACTTTCGTTCTCAGATCCTTGATTGTCTTCTTGAGATGATAACTCATCTGAAGATGATGCATTGAAATTCACATACTTCTTCAATAAGTCTAATTCTTTCCTCATCTTTTTATTGTTGCGCCGCTCTTCTTGCAACTGAGCATATAAGTGTGCATTGGAAGCATGCACCTGAGATTTAATTATCTCATCAATTTCTCCTTGTAAAGTAGATGTTGAATGCTTAAATACTTTAACAGATCGACCCAAAGAACCAAGTCCTGCAACCCTTCCTTTTTTCTTTCCACCAACAGATTGCACCCAAATATCTATTTCACTTAATTGGCTTGCTGAATTAGTGTCTCCTACCTCAGTTGATGCACTTTGAGAAGCTGACAGTTCTTGTTTCTTTTTTTCAAAATTATTCTGCACCAAAATAAGTTATTTGAGATATTATATAGTGCCAATAGAACATCGTTCTCAAGAGAAAAAATTAGTAAGGACAAGAATTAACTATTGTTCTCAAGAGAAAAAATATATAACACAAGCCCAAAAATGGTGAACCAACTGCTCAAATATAAGGAGTCAAGAACAGAAGCTGAATCTTGGCAAAGAATGTATGCTTGACAAAACTATTTTTTTCAAAAATATTACTTTTTTCAATATAACTAAGCCATTCCTAACTTCTTCCCACAAAAAATATTTTGTAGCTAGATTCTGAAAAACCAAATTGAAATGTTTCTTAAATTTGTGTGTACCCCATGATTTTCTCGAAATCGCTACGTTTATGCAATTGCTATCTTCCTCACATTCATTACCTACATAACGATGAGCATTTCTTGTCCATAATACTGAATATGATCTAGCTAAGGTCATGTAAAAAAGATATTGGGGACATATAAAAAATATGTACATAGAATAAACCTATACACTTTTGTCTATGATCTTACTTCTTCAATATGATAATTGTCTTCCAAGCATATATTTTAATTTATCTTATACTTAAGATAAAATAATTCGTTACTATTACTTTTAACTTATTCTCATGCCCTCTGGTTAGCTTGGTATAATTTTTTTATTTGCAGTGATATATGCATAGCTAAATTAATAAGCTTAAGAAGTAGAGATAATAAATTTAACCACAAAGAGATAATATAAATTTCAAATCGATGCAAAAATAATTCAGTAAATAATAAAATTCTCAATACAATATATGTGATTTTCAAAGACAGTACTATGACTCAAGCTCGGAGCAAGTAAATCATTATGCAAGAAAAAAGATAAATCCCAGAGTGACGGAATCCTCAGCTAAATCACCAAGAAAAATATGTTCTAGCTAAACTCGCAATACACAAATCCCCAACTAATTACACAAGAAATTAAATCTTCGGGTATTTCGCTATGGAAATATTTAGGTGAAACCACTTCAAGATATTCCCAAGCAAATTTTCTCGGGTAAATAAATACGCAGGTAAAAGGTAAATAAATCACAGGTAAATCCCTATTAAAGAATTCCTATGAAAATATTCGCAAGTAAAACCCGAACAATAAATCCCCAGGTATTTTCCTAGGTGCATAAATCCGCTGGTAATTCCCCAGGAAATATTTCCCATGTAAAACCGTAGAAAAATAATCCCAGGTAATTCCCCAGGAAAACTAAATCCCCAGGTACATCCCCATGAAAAAATCCGCCGCAAACTCTGCATGACCGTTACCTGGGGAATTTTCTGCCAACTTACAAACGAAAAAAAAAAATTACCTACGAATTCACCTACGGATAGAGGATTTGCCGATTGTTTCCTCAGGTAATTCCCCAGGTAATATGTTTGCTCCTAATGGCGCCAAAATTACCTGCAGATTTATCGGGGAAAATTAAATTCGCATGTATAATATTTTATAATTTAAGAATTTTAAAATTTGGCAAGAAAATCCGCAGGTAAATCTGGGGATTTTATCCCCAGGTAAATATCCCCAGGTAATCCGCCTTTTTCTAGTAGTGCTTCTTATTGCTTTGACGGAAGTGGGTGGTGGAAGCTTTTCGATCACATCAACCTTTGCACGGTCTACGTCAATGCCTTTACTCGACACTAGGTGCCCCAATCTATCCAGCATTTGATCAATGAACGGCAAGGGAAAGTTGTCTTTTCGGGTGGCCTTGTTCAATCTTCTATAATCCATACAAATTCGCCATCCAGTGACTGTTCTTGTTGATATCAACTCATTGTTCCCGTTATGCACTACAATCATCCCACCTTTCTTAGGCACACATTGGACTGGCAAAATCCAGTTGCTGTCATAGATGGGGAAAATGATCCCCGCATCTAACCACTTTATCACCTCCTTTTTCATAACTTCCTTCATGTTGGGTTTCAGCCTTCTTTGTTGTTCTCTGGAAGGTTCGTGGACATCTTCCAGTAGAATATTATGCATACAGAAGGCTGGGTTGATACCCTTAATATCTGCAATGGTCCACCCGATTGCAGTTTTGCACTCCATCAATACCTGCAAAAGCAGTTCTGCCTGCACATCTAACAAACTAGATGAGATAATAACAGGTGAAGTTGAGTTAGGTCCCAAGAAAGCATACCTGAGATGAGGTGGTAAGGGCTTCAGTTCCAACTTTGGTGGCTCTTCTATCGATGGCTTAGCTGGAGGAGTTTTCCTTTCTTCTACGTGTAAAGGCTCAAATTCGAGCTCCCTTCTCCAAAAAACATGTCCTTTAAGACCCAGTACCCACTCCGCCAAGTCCTCTCCATTTTCTTCATCTAAGTTCATTAGACAGGCTGCTAGAGGGTGTTTAGTGTTCAATGTCTCATCTTCCTCCTCCAAAATTATGTCCACGGCTTCTATTAGAGAGCAGTTAGCAAATTAACTTGGTCGCCGCATAGATTTCTGCACGTTGAATGTTATTTCTTCATCATTTAGTCGCATTTTGAGCTCTCTAGTTTCACAGTCAATTAAAGCTCTCCCAATGGCCAAGAATGGTCTTCCTAAAATTTTTGGAATCTCCTCGTCAACCCGACAGTCAAGAATGACAAAAATCTGCTGGGAACACAGGTTTCCCAACCTGTACTAATACATCATCAAGGATACCAGAGGGCCTCTTCACTGTCCAGTCAGCTAGCTGTAGTAACATGGACGTGGGTCTAGCTCTTCCAATGCCTAACCTTTTGTAGATAGCCAGGGGCATCAAGTTTATGGTTGCCCCCAAATCATAAAGTGCCTTAGCAAACGCATAGTTGCCTATTGTGCATGGGATTTTGAAACCCCCTGGGTCAAATAGCTTCTCAGCTATGGGTCTTGTCATAGCACTACATATCTGAGTCAGTGTAACCGTGGCCAAGTATTGAAAGTCAATCTTACTAGACATCAAGTCCTTCATAATTTTTGCATAACCAGGCATTTCCTTTAAGGCGTCAATCAATGGAATGTTCATATGAATTTGCTTTAACATCTCCAAGAATTTCTTATTCTGCTCATATTTCTAATACTTGGCCAATCTCTATGGGAATGGTGATGGAGGTCGCTTCTTCCCTGTGATTTGATTTTTATCTTGCTCAGGCACTGCTTCTACTATCGTTTCCTATGCTACCTCAATCTCCTTCGCAACCTCTTTTTCTTTGCTGGTGTTCTCTTATGCATGTTGTACCGTCACCTCAGTTAACCCTGTTGATTCATCTATCTCAATGGGTATTGGCACAAGTATTTCAGTAGGTTGGCTTTCGCGAGCAATTTCTTGCTCCAGATCTAGGTCTCTACCATTTCGTAGATTAACTGCTATAAGTTATTTCTGGCCCTGCTCTTTTGGATTGATTTGTGTGTATGCAGGCAATGTCCCTTGGGGACGATTATTTAGAGCCATCGAAATCTGTCCTAACTAAATCTCAATACTCTTTATCGCTGATTCATGTGAGTACACTCTCTCTTGCGTTTTTCCAGTAGACTCAATCAGTTGCTGCAGCATTCTGCTGTTGTTGTTCAGCACTCCCTTAAGTTCAGCAAACCCATCATCTTGTCTCAGAATCTGTTATTGTTGAGGTTGTTGATAATCCAGCTGCTGATTTTGCTGGTTGTAACCTTGTTGCCTTTGGTAAGGCACCACTTGACCCTGTGGTCAAATAGCTCTAGGATTGTTGCCGTTATTGTACTGATGCTGTGCTGGTCTGTATTGTTGATTCCGCTGGCCCCAATTCTGATCACCTTGCCTCTGTCCCCCATAGTTGGCCACATAGTTCATGTCTTCTTGATATTGCTGGTTGTCACCTTCCGCACTCCAAGAGCAAACATATCGTTTGTTAATGCATGGTGTACATAAGCCCCTATTAGTTGCTTCAACTATGTATACATGCTGCTTCTGGCCTGATTCATCTATCTTTTTTGTGAGGGTACTCATTTGCGTAATTAGAGTGGCCATATTTTCAGCTATGGAGTTGTTTGGGTCTAAAGCCACTAATGAACTATAAGAGTGATCGTAGAGTCTCTTGTCATCCATCCTGAGTTTTGGGCCATCTTATCAAGTAGGATCTTGCATTCTCTGAATGTTTTGCTCAAAAATGCTCTACCTGCTGAAGTATCAACATTGTCCTTTAAGCCGTCTGCCAGTACCATGTAGAACCTCCGCCCTAACATCTGATCTGAATGCCATGATGTGGACACTTAACAAGCATACCCTTGAACCTCTCCCACATTTTTTGTTGTGATTCTGTTGGTTTCTGCCTGAAGCTCAATATATCATCAATTTGCTTGGGCCATTTATTGGGTGGATAGAACTTGTTCAAAATTGTTTGATTAATTCCTCCCAAGTAGTGATGGAATTTATGAAGAGTGAATCAAGCCAAGTCTGAGCTTCTCCTGTCATTGAGAATGGAAACAACAACAGTTTAATTGCTTCCGGTGTCACATTAGGTTGCCTTTGCGTGACACATATTGACAGGAAATTCTTCAGATGCTGTTGAGGATCTGATATTCTAAAGGTCAATACCACACAAGAGGGGGGGTGATTTGTGTGGTACCCAATTTTCGCTCTAGAAGTACCTGGTTCTTCTAGGTGTACTAACTACTACTGTTTGCAGAATAATAAGTACATAAAATAAAGAACATCGAGATTTTTACGTGGAAAACACCTGGCTCAAAAGGTGAAAAAACCATGACCTACTACTCAATAGGATTTTCCCAAACTTCCACTAATATCACTGAGCCATAACAGCATTTACAAAAACTCTTTGTAAACCTAAGGATTAACTCTAATCCCGTTGTAGCACACAGCCTCAACTGTTGTGACAACTTCAAGTTAGCTTATAACTTGAACACTCTAAGTACCTAATACAATTGCTTCTAAGAAAGCTGAAAGGTACAATTTTAAACCACCTACTACAATTGAACTAGAATAAAAGAAAGACACAATGGAACTGATTCTTCTATCTCATTCAAGTAGCTTCAGGAGTGCACACTCAAATCTCCATAAATTGCTTGCAAAATCGCCTTGCTCTTTTGCTCTCAATTTAGTTTAACTTCTGCGTTTGGGCAATACCTGTAAAAGAGAACAATCACTGTCTTTTAATAGGTTAGTAATCAGAGTTTGATTGAGACTCAATTGCTGATCTTCTATCGTAGTTGAGTCCTTGAAGATCTCAAACTCCAACGCTATCTTTATCCGGATTGTGTTCTCTTCATATAAGGAGACTTTCTCCCCTTATCCAATATGCAATCTTTTCGATCAGATCAGGAGATATTGCTGCTTGATCAGTAGGACTTATATCCTTCACGTGCATCTCACATGTGTAGGTTGATCATGATTGTGCTTCACACGATGGACCTGGTCCATGACTGAGTTCATTTGTCATTCTTCAAAACTTCACCTGTTCTTGGGCCAACAAATTCCCCCTTTTGACGATGACAAACTCTGTGTGTTTTACTGATTCGAAACCTGTAAGAACTCAACTTAACCATCAACACTAAACTTAGAAAATTCACTTATCATCAAGGACCGGGTTAATTAGGTTATAAACATCACTTATTTCAGAATATGTAAAGCACAATATCTCTTCCCCCTTTTGGCATCATCGAAAAGTTGCATACACAATGTGAATCCCAGATTTTAATAAATACTCATGGCCACTGGGGCAACTGCAAGTGCAAGCATGGTGCAATCATCAGTAATCTAACAAACATATATAAACTATCAAGGTTAGAATAATTGTTGAACAAGAGAAAATAGCAGTTGTCAATGACAGAGATATGTTGCCACCAACAATCCACAAAAAGAAAGAAAAACATTCAACCATGAGCAAAACAATAGAAAAATCCCTTATCTGGGTCACTGGGGTATTATACAAGTTCAGGAGACAAGTGCTAGGAGTCCTAAGGTTTGGAGGAACTGGAGGGTTGAGTTTGGAGAAGATTCAGCATGTTCTGAAGAATTCCATCATTCTTCTCCTTTTCTTTGGCAAGCTCAATTTTAAGACCATCCCTCTCAGTTTCCACTTCAACCATACGAGCTTTGAGCCTAGCAATTTCAGCATCCTTAGCTGCACATTCCTGAACCAAAGTCCTAACATTGCTGTTTATGGGTGTCTTGAGAGATGAACCAGGTTCAACTGGGATGGCATGGACTGGATAGTCACAAGCAAGAAGAGTTTTGATGCCAAAGTGTTCCTTGCTCGAGGCCATTTCTCATTTCTTCAGAGGCACATTTTGCCTGTCAAGCACTGTGGTCAGTATGAAGCCATATGGAGTAGCATAAGCCTTGGAGCCATTTATGACCCTGTCTAGCAAATTTGACAATGAGAGCAGGACAGTTGATTCTCTCCAGGCACTCCATAAGAACCAGGTCCATGTAGTTAGTAGTGTGCCTTCTCTCCTGTCTGGGCAATAAGCACTTGTTGACAAATTCAAACACAACCTTGTGCTCAGGCCTCATCTCACTTTTCTGCACAGCCCTGGCTTCATTCACTTCCTCTGAATCACAGAACCTCTTGGTGATCTCAAGGGAAGTAGGGAGGGAGTCCAGGCATGGCCACCTTTGCCTAGTATAGTCATCAAACCCTTCAGAGGGTATGTCCAGAATCTCTCCCATCAAACTGCACTTGAACTCCCTTCACCAGGCTACTAACAACTCCATCCTTAACAGCAGCATTTGCCATAAATTCAATCAGCTCATTTCTGGCTAGCCTACCATCCATCTGAAGGACCATGTCCTTCCATCCCTGAGCAGCTAAAGCATCCACCAACCTCATCATCCCTGGTTCCACCAGATCCTTCAACAATCTACCTTTTAAAATCTTTCTTCTGCCAAAAATGTCAAACTTGTCCTGTTCCTTCTCAGAATCATTCTCTTCTTCTTCTCCACTCCAGTCATCATTATCTGAAACTTTTGTTTGTTTAGCTTTCACTGCAGATCTTGTCCTCTTGTCCAGTGTGGGTTCAACAGACACAGGTGCAGAAGATGATTTATTGGAGGAAGTCTTGGGCTTTTTAGGCTTGGGTGTAGGAACCTCCACTGTTGTACCCCTTTCTTGATGGACTAGTTCCATCTCCTCTTCCTCAACAAGTACCTCTGATGATTCTGCAATCTTTCCTTTTCCCTTATCCATTTTCTTTTTCTTACTTTCTTCTAAGGCTTTTTGTAGATCAGCTTCACTCTATTTTACCCTGCTTCTTGTGGCTCTACCCCTAGGCACTGAAGAGGCAGTAGGTGTTGGGGATGAAGCTTTTCTTTTCTTGGAAGGCTTGGGAACAGTTGGGGCTTTTGCTGTGGGAGCTCTGCGTTTCTTTGGGTCATAGCTTGCCCCAACCTTTTTCAGTAGATCAGCTAAGGTTTCTTCAGTAGATGAAACAAGTTCATCTCTTTGCTTACTCAGATGAACCAACCCCTCAGCAGCTTCCCCGGAACCACTCCCCCCTGACTTCATTCCACTCTCTTCTAACCTCTCTTGTGCAACTCCACATATAGCAAGAACTGCTCCCTTCCCATTTCCCCTCTCTTCACCACATGCACCCTCTCTCTCAATTTCTTTTTCAAGATTCTTTTTTACCTCCACTCCTACGTATCTTAGGCACTTCAACATCCCTAATAGGACCAACCAGAACAAACCTAGTCTCTAAGTTTTCACTCACAGATGAACTTACCTCAGTAGGGGATTCTTGAGTCTTCTCAGAGTTAGAAGACCCATGTCCTTCTCCCTCAGTCGCTGATTGATATGATTCTGACTCAGAGCTGGAGTCTGAATTTGGAGTTTTGCTTTGCTTTATTTGGCTTGCTTTCTACCTTTCGTTTAAAACCTTTCTCAAAGCCCCAGATGCTACAGTCTTTCGAGCAAGCATTTTCTGCCTTCGTAGTCTAGGTTTTGAAGATACACTGGGTGGAGTAGATGAGGATGAATT